TATTATTCTTTTACTGAGATGATGGCTTTGTTAAAAATCTCTTTAAACGCAAATCAGGCTGTGCATGAACTCGAAATTAACTTGTCCATGACGCCGACATTTGGTGCCTTTGCAAAGTCTTCCGGACAAGAATCACAGGTGGTTTCTCAGCTTTGGATGCATACCCATTAGAGTGCATGTATTACGATGCGCTTTTATTTTCTTTCTGGTAAACACGCCACAAAATATAGCATAAAAAATAATTTGAATATGTTAATTAATCTTTTTTATGTGGATCTTTTCTGAATTGAGTCTCTTTGAATTCACAGTATTTCTGTAGTGAATAGTTATTAAGAGGGAACCAGTGCAAAAGAAGCACCTGAAATATTCATCCAACGTTCAATTTTTTCCTTAGAGGAAATATCAAGAAAAATATTTGAGAATAAATACATCGAAAAAGATAAATTTTTAAAGAGATTTATCTTTAAAAAATGCAAAACATTTCAAAATGGAGATATATTTTTATAACGAAATATTTTAAGAGATCAAATTTTATAAAAATAACGATATATTAAATGAAAGAATAATTTTGTGAAAAATTGCTTCTTTAAAGGAACCATATGAAAATGGTAAAATAAGATTTTTAAACAGCTTATACTAAAGAATAAGCATTTCAGGACTGAGAAATATATATAATAATGTAAAGAGTGTTTCATTAAGACGGATCAAAGTCAGCATAAAATAAATCAGTGTTATTGGGGAAAATTATTTATTTCTCTATTGGATCATGTTATTTAAAGTTATGGCAATTATGTTCGAAAAATCATATCGCTCAAATGTCCGCCAAGGATTAGGCGCCACACCTGCACTCAAGAGTCAACATTTTTGATGATCTCTCTGCATAGTTGCTCCTCGATCTCACCAATATGCATTATTATACCATCCTTCTGCAGTTGAATTGTTGTCGGCTTCTTGGTATAGACTTTACCTTTGAGATGACCCCCAAAAGAAGAAATCTAAAGGTGTCAAGTTTCACGATTATGATGGCCAACTGATTTCGCTGTTTCGAGAGATGATGCGACCTGGGAACTTCTCATTCTAATTCTCTTTGAACGTTCATAGGCTTCGAAGACGTTGTTTAATTGTTAATCTTTCCATGGTTGAAATTGCCAAAGCCTTAAGTTGTTAAATCTGAAAGAAAAAGAAAAAAACATTAGACGCTTAAACTTAATTCACATTTAAAATCGGTTGGAAATATCGGAACACGATTTATTTAGTGAAGGAAAGAGTTTAGAATAAAAGTAAACCTAGGAAGAAGCAGTTGAATTTTTTAGGACACACAGTGAGCAGAGGGCTTCAAAAAATTGATACTCGGAGGACAGATTGAAAGCAAGCAGGACAGTCAACGCATAAATGAGTGGTAAAATAAAGTTTAGGAGAAATGACAAGAAGAAAAGAAGAAGTTCACATAACCATTACGCCCTACCAGTAGCTAATATTCCGTTTTGATAGAAAGACAATAGACGTTACGAGATTTCAGTGAAAGAATGAAAGAAATAAAGATAGAAAGAAAGAAATAAAGAAATGCTTACTGTCTCTTGATAATACATAATAAATATTTGACTATTCCGCTTTGATTACGTGGGATGAAAAAAGACATATCAAAAACGCTACTTAGCTTCCGTGAGAAAATTTAAAAAAAAATGGGAATCTTGAAGTGTTTAACATCTGCCTGGGTGAAATTGGAATCGTTTTCAATTTCAAATCTTTTCGTTTGTACATTCTTCTTAAAATAATGACCAGCATTCATATTTATTATTGTTATTGAATATTTTGTTCATGTTAAGCTCAAATGTTTAACGATGTGATTGAAGAATTTCTACGGATATTTTATTGTCGTAGAACTCGCCACGAGTTTACTCAATCATTAACTGAATAATTACGATTTAAAATAGGAAATCCGTGAAATATTCCCAAGTCAAAGCTAGTATATAATAAAGCAGGGGTAAGGGGGGAGAGCGGATCGCGAGCCAGATGTGGCTCTTTTAATTTAAATATGCGGCTCAGAGAAATATGTTGGCTGAGATCTTTTTTTCATCACAGTTAATATAAAAGGTAAATTCCCGTAGTTCCTTAGTTAAAACAATCGACAGTTAAGTTTTTGAAAAGATTTGTTTTTTTGTTTTTTTATATAGGTATACTTTCTAATTATTGAAACTAATGCAGATTAACAGTTTAAAAAACTGCATATATAAATAAATATTATTTCATACATGGATTCCTTTGTATTTACATAAAAATTGTAATAAAATGTGTATGCAGCAAAACGTATATATAAATTTTGTTCATGTCTTCCGGCTCTCAAATATCTGAAATTTGTCGTACGTGGCTCTTACATAAAGCAAGTTTGGACATCCCTGTAATAATGCATTTTAAGCAAGAAAACCTCTATAAAACAACCATTATAAGACGTATTTTAAATAAAGCTGTTGCTACTACTATTCTTTTAAAGCAAATCATCGATGTCTCAGCGTACCTATATTTGATCGAGCGATCACCACTGACGAAAAGTGAGACGTCTATGACACTCTGCCAGATATTGGTTATTGCCTCATACCACAAAATCACCACTACATCCATGCAAGATCATGTCCTGTATCTGGTGCATTCATCGACAAGTAGTGCATTATGAGCGGCTATCAACGGATCAAACCATCACTGCGGACCTGGAATCGCAGTAGTAAGGTCGTGTGCAACAGGAACTGAAGTACATTTTTTTCCTAATAAATCAAAAACGCCAATGACTTTTCTGGTTAACTTCTACGTTACGCCCTGTAATGAACTTGATGTCCCCTGCCCAAAGATTCTTGGATAAAGCAACGGCGGACAACAGCAATCTTTAACCTTTTATATCTTGCATGTTTTTTGGGGTTTTTTTTTCTTAATATATTTGATTATTAAAACTCATATGCATTTTTGAACATAACTTGAAAAAGGCACACATACTATCGAAATATTGTTAAACATTGTTAAACAATTCGTATTTCCTTTTCTTAAACGCGGTCTTTTATACTCTTCAAAATGATAGCAGTAATAATAATAATAATAATAATAATAACGTATGACTAATGGATATATCCGTGAGTATATGATGATAGTAATAGTTACAACGATCAAAATACAAGTAGTATTAATAAACAAACGACGATAAAACACAATAACAAATGGCTCTCCCATCATTTTCGACATATGAGAACACAAGTCAATTCTTAGAAGCGAAATACGATTTCATTATAATGGTAATGATTTGCTCAGGAGCAACCACATTTATAAAACTCTGAGTTGTGTCGTGCTAACGGTGAGGAATCATATGTATATTTTTAATATAAACTTAATAGCTCTGTTATATTAGATCGACAACTATTTTATTAACACCAACAGTCAATGTGCGATATCTGATATTCATATATATATATATATATATATATATATATGTGTGTGTGTGTGTGTGCGCGTTTGTGTGTGTGTGCGCGTTTGTGTGTGTGTGCGCGTTTGTGTGTGTGTGTGTGTGTGTGAAGGCAGGCTGAAGAGGATCGGCATCAAGTTGTGCCTATCTATACCCACATGAGATAATGTGGTATTTTTGCTGTAAATATATATATATATGTTATAATAAATACATTTAGCTCGTTGTGAATCAGTTTTAATATTTGATATTACATGGGTCCATCTGGATCATATACCATCGGTTCTATTACCTGTACTATATATATATATATGCAAAAAAGTGATGAGACGTTATTTACTAACGTCGAAACAAAATGTACAATGTAACTTTATATATATATATATATATATATATATATATATATATATATATATATATATATATATATATATATATATATATATATGTATGTATGTATGGCATCTTGATAATGGCTAATAGAATGTCCGGTATTGCTCGACATGAAACTTGTATAAAACTGCTCAAATCCAAAATTATATGTATGAAAATGAAGGTAAAATATCTTTCTGTGTCTTTGCATTTGATATTTCAGTTGCGAGTATATTTATCTAAACAATGAATTATATAGACTACGTTAGTGAAAAGAAAATTAAGAATATCAAATATTATTTGATAATCTTTTTTTGCAAATATATTAAAAGAGTAGTTTTTATTAAGTTTCAGGAGAATCGCATCCAAAAGCCAAAATAGATGCAAATTCATTCGGAATTAATGTGAATATATTCTGTCGAAATAAATATTTAAATAAGTGGGCTACACTTTATTTTTCAGATGGTTTCCCACGCAAAGTATTTCTTTTCAAAAGACACAATAACTCACCAATATAATATACATACATATATATATATATATATATATATATATATATATATATATATATATATATATATTATTATTATTATTCAGTTTTATATATATATATATATATATATATATATATATATATATATATATATATATATATATATATATATAATTATCCAAATATGTGTGCATGTATGTGTGTGTCTGTGTGTGTGAGTCATTGGGTGTTTTTTATGCGTTTCTACAGTTTTCATCCGATTTGATTAATTTTTTTTTTGTTTTGATAGATAATTCTTCAGTGCCGGTTTTGAGACCAAATTAGCTGGAAAAATTACAACAAATCGAAAAAACCTGTTTTTTACACTTTGCCCTAAAATACAACCCTTACCCTCTTTACTGTCGGAGAGAGCGCATGTTGGTGAACATGAAATGGACAACCGATGGATCTTACCTTAGTGTCCCCACCTAAAAATCTTCAACGCTCAAATCAACGTCGAATTTTGTAGTTCAGTGAAGTAAATATGTGTGCAAGTACCTTCACAAAGGGTCCGATTCCACCTCTTTCGGTCTCATAGCAGAGAATAAACGCGAGTAAGGCACCCGCTATGTAGTCACGTGCTATCTCAGCACAAATTAGGCTTTTTGGAGATTGTTCGGCTTCCTCATTCGCAAAAGCTATCCTACGATCATGCCAATGACGGTGCAACTTGAAAGTGGAACGGGCGTTTATTTTACAACTGAAGCTACCGCACAAATAGCAGAGCAGCCAAAAGACGCCAGACCGCCTTCTTTAAACTGTGATTAAAAAGAGCCCTTTGTCCGGAAACTCCTGTACCCAGATGTGCCATCATACTTTCGATCGGACAAGGAGCACGGCGTTTGGAAAATGCGAAAACAAGATAAATACGTTGAGGGACGTCACAGCATCAAGTTATCACACTGCCTTGGCAGAGTCTACACAATCACCCCTCGCCAACAGGAATGCGTCTACCTTCGCCTGCTACTGCACAAGACACGAGAAACCACATCATTCGCTGATCTCAAAACCGTCGATGGACATACCCACGCAACATACCGTGAGGCTTGCTTGCACCCTGGTTTATTGGAGGACGACACTGAATGGGATTCTGCGATGACCAAAGCTGCTTCCTTGCATTCCGCAAAAAAAAACTTCGTGATCTCATCGTTGTTTTACTTCAATCATGCGAGATATCAAATCCTGCAAAATTCTGGAAAAAATTCAAGGAAGATCTCTCAGAAGACTGCAGGCACCAAGGGCAGCTGCTACTTCCGAACATCGACGTTTGTCTAAGTGATGAATTCTACAACAGAGCGCTAATAGACATTGAGAATCGACTTCTATGTACGGGTGGCGATAAACACTCCGCTTATGACCTTCCTTTCACCAACATTACAGGTGTACATGCAATTCCTACTGGCGTTATTCAAGAAATAGCCTACGACGTTGATGCTCTAAAAGAATGCATCAACGAAAATGAACCAAAGCTGCTTGAGGAGCAGTAACATGCTTTCAATACTGTCTAAAACTCCGTCTGCGAGCACAGTGGAGTAATTTTCCTCTTGGATGCACTAGGTGGGATGGAAAGACCTTCGTCATCAATCTTCTCGCTAAAGGCATTGCTTTAGCTGTTACTTATTCGGGTATTGTTGCAACACCATTGCCAGGCGGAAGAACGGCCCATTCAGCCTTTAGACTCCCATTCAAGGCAACTTCATCCGACTCGGCAACCTACAAAATAAGCAATGGATTCTGACAAAGCTGAGGTGTTACAAAGATGCCAACTCATCGTCTGGCATGAATGCACAATGGCGCATAAGGGATCATTTGAGGAACTGCATCAAGCCCTTAAGGATTTAAGGGGCTGTAGCTGTCCAGTGGGAGGGGTGTCTGTTTACCTTTCAGGTGACTTCAGACAAATCCTTCCTATCATCACAAAAGGCACCAGAACTGATGCTGTTAGAGCCTGCTTCAAGTCTTCTTCCCTGTGGCAACACGTCCAAACGTTGAAACTCCAAATATGAGATCCCACATCCATGGCGACCAATTATCACCAAAAGCCCTTAAAAAATTGGATACGGCCCGATGGAAACCGACGCTGATGGAGACATTTCCATTTCTTCCATTTGCACAGTTTTTAGCAATGTCGGCGCCCTAATGTCTGCCACTTTCCCGGATTTACCAACTAACTTCATAAACCTTCCTTAGTTTTCTGAAAGGGCAATATGGTCACCTAAAATACCTCTGTCACTTCAATCAACAACGACCTCTTGCACATCTTCCCAGGTAATCTCATATCGTACAAATTCTTCGACTCCGTCAAAGATCTCGATGAAGCTGTTCACTTCCCTACGGAGTTCCTCCATTCACTAGACCCTTCAGGATTACCACCACACGATATTCATCTCGAAATTGGATCTACAGTAATGCTGCTCTGTAATAAAATAAATCACCTCGACTCGATTCAAATATGGACATTCCGTGTCCCCTAAGAAGGGTCCAATCCCCACCTTCGTGTGTTCTTCGTGATGTCCATTAACAAATAACAAGGACAAACGCTCTCCACCGCAGGCCTTCACCTGGGAGAACTATGTTTTTCCCACGGTCAGCTCTACGTCAGCTGAGTTGGAAGCAGCACAAACCTGATCATACACGTTCTCAAAGCGAAAACACGCAACGTCGTCTACAGTGAGGTGATGCAGGATTCGTGTACTCTATACTGGCTACTGCATAGAGTGATTTTCTATGCTTTCATTTAAAAATTCGTCTTTCTTATGCTAATCAAAGCCTCTATCTCTCCTTCCTCATGTCACCTTCAACCACTTCACACCCTTGAAATAACATCATTTCCAGCACATTGAATAACAATAGAAAATGCATCTACAGCTTGAAGAAACATTCTCCCCTCCCCCATTCTCTCCTTCCCCCGTAACGATCCATAGAAGAGGTTTATTCCTTGTAAGTTTTAGAACGCAAAAACAGCCCTTTTCCGTGCAATCCCCCATTCAAATTGTTACCCCCCCCCCATTTGGGGATGTACCTCAGTTGAACCCAACTGTTGTTACTAACATTGATTTTCGGGTGGGTTGAATTTAAACTTAAAGTACTCCACCTGAACAGCAAAAATTCCCAGTAATGAGACAGCCGGTCCAAATCATGTTCTACCGCTAATATATATATATATATATATATATATATATATATATATATATATATATATATATATATAAAGTGAACATAGAAGTCAACATAGAGGCGAAAGATGCAATCGACAGGCCACAAGTGCTGTTATGGAGAAAAAATAACAGCACTCGTGGTATGACGATTGCATCTAGAATGAAACAGACTGTCGCCTGTGTTGACTTCTATGTTCACTTTTATATTTACACACGCTCTATCTCTGATATTGAGCACTTTATCCCATAAATATAGCACGCCTTAAGACTACATATATATATATATATATATATATATATATATATATATATATATATATATATATAAACACACACACACACATATATATATATATGTAATATTATTAAATATATTTCGTATTTTTACGTAAAAATGTTTGCGTTCGTGAGAATGTTTTGTACGTGATTTTGTCCCTGTGAGTACGAATTCCCCTTCATCTCTGCATGTATAGATGGACAGAATATATCCTACAGCCTTGGAAAGCGGCTTAGGAGAAGGAAGGACAACTCTGAAATAAAACAAAAACAACTAAGAAGAGTTAAATAGCCTTACTTAGCCGCAACTAGGCCCGCGTATTAAGTATTGCTATAACCCTGAAGACAGGATCAATAAGGGAAGGAATATACTAATAGGCCCTGGGTTTGGATTTCGAATACGCCATGTTACTTTAAATTTGCAGAACTTAGCATAAAAGATGGCTTTCTAGGAGATTGTTAGAAAATATACATATATTTTTTTATTTTCTAGTGGAATTATTTTGGGAAATGTGTGAAAATCTAATAAATAAGGGCAAATTACATGACCCTTGTGCAGTACTTCGTGTATGTGTAGATCAGTGAGAAGACGATGTAAACATTGCAATAGCTGATAAACTGCACTGGAAGATCAGTGTTAAATATTCAGTTCATAGTTATATATCAAATAGAGTGTCATAAAATAAAAATGGGGTATGTGGGTATATCAGATACTTCCGGTAGTTGAGCGTCCCTGTCTATCATAGTGTATTACCAATCAGAATGTCAAAGGAAAGGCACTTGTCGTGAGGTGGGTACTCATTATGAAAAAAAAAAATCTTATCATGAAAAACAGAATTTTATTGAAAAATAATCATCACGAAAAATTTTGGAGCTTCAAAATAAAAATGTACAAATAACTCAACCTTCGAACTAAGACGAAAAAATCCCTCGTTAGGTATATCATGGCATTAAATAACCATAAATGAGTTAATTCTTTTAATCGATTTCCCCCCAAGCAAAGCAGTAAAGCCACTAAGACACAAGTGATTACTGGATGTGAAATGCACTTAAAATGGGGGTAGTGGATATATAAAATCTAAAGGAACTAAATTGGATACTAACTTTTAAAGAAACCTTGTTCTCTCATAAAATGAACATTCTTTTAGACGTATTAACCAAACTGACACAGGACAGATTGAAGGCAAGAAAGACAGAGAAAACCAACGCATAGCGAACTTGATTAAATGGATAACAGAACAAATTTTACGAGAGATAACAAAAAGGCAAATTTTATTAAGAGTCACAAAAGACAAGAAATTGTGAAGCGCCATGATCATGTGCGCCCTGAAGTGTCACGGTAACTAGATGGAAAAAAAATCTTACTGTAGACATTTATTTTTGTTTTGATTTTAAATATACATTTCTTATTGGTTTAGATTTGTGGCATATCAATTTCTTCTAGGTTATTAAATGCCGAATTCTCTCCTACAATGGGTAGATATAGATTTGATTTGCACGAAAACACTGACACACGTGCAATAATCAAGTTCCCGTTTCTGAGGAATTTTTTCCCTCTACACGGGCAGTCATTTGGCATATTATTTACCCCCAACCGGCAGGTGTTTTATTTTACTTTTCGCTTGTACTTATTTTGTGAAATGAGAACTGTATGCTTTTCTGCGTATAAGACTTGTACACACACATACACACACACACACACACACACATATCCACATACATACATACATATATATATATATATATATATATATATATATATATATGGAACCAGAGAGAGAGAGTAAGAGAGAATATTATAGAATGAAGATTACATGTTAAAATTGAGTGAATAAATACATAGATTGGCAGTTGGGTCCTATCATATTCAAAGTGAAACTGCAAGATGTAACGATAACTTCTATGCTGGCCACGTGCAACTCTCTTCTGTTTTTTTGGTTTCAAGTCAACTTTGATCTTCAAAATTAAGTTAAATGCCATATCAAACGTTAACTTCTCGCTCCATAATTCCTGTTCTTTTATTGCTCTCTTTGCTCAATAATGCTTACTTTTTCTCAAATTTTTGCACACTCAGCAATCACATGTGTTTTTGTGGCTTTATTGCCTTGCTTAGAGTGAAATAATTAAAACACACACACACACACACACACACACATATATATATATATATATATAGCGTGCGTAACAGTATAATTGTCCAACCCGCAACATTTTTCATTTCTTAAAAACCACTAAACTAATTGAATTTTTTACAGATTTTTAGATAAGACTTTTAGCCATCAAGACAACACTTGTCTTAAGACTCAATGAAAAAAAAAAAAAACATTGAGTCATTCAGCTAGATAGGGAACAGGTTAAAATCGTTTTGTATCATCACCATTGTCTTCCCAAATGAGCAATGTTGAGAAGAAAAAGATCATTCAGGCCTTCATACACTGGCTTCCGTCCTCAAAGTCCATTCAAATACCATTACGGGAACAGTGAATAAGTTTAAAAAAGAGGGAATAGTAGAGAGGAAAACTGGGTCAGGAGGTCACAACAGCAAGAGGGATCATCATTTTCGAGCTAAAGAGATCAATTAGAAAAGATCCAACTCAATCCACAA